TAGTGTCTGTGTGGACCCCAGGAAGAATAGCTGTAGTTTCAGTTACAGCTAATGGGGATCCTAATTAATAAATAAATAAATAAATGTCCGTGGTGCAATGTGGTGATACTGTAGCAGCTGGTGAAGAACACAGATAAAATGATGTTTTACTACTCTGAGATCTGCTGGTTCCTCATTTTATCTTTGCAGTTCTTCTTTTTGGAGAAAGGAAACTTATCAGAAGTTCAATCAGGAAGACACATTTCATGCTGACTCTAGTTATATCCTCGCCCCCTCTCTTCCCTTTTTCTGCTTCCAATTCACTCATTGAATTAATTGTTCATTCCTTTAGTTAAACCAATCCGAGTTTGCCACAGTTTCTGTGAGCCAATGATTTTGTTGCTGTCAACCTTTAAATTGTCTCTGGCTTATTTCAACCAAGCTATCAACAAACTAAATTTTCTAATGTCTCTCAGATAAAGTTCAGATAAAACTGAAGTTATTGTTCTGGGGCCAAAGCACCTCCGTGACGCATTATCTAAAGATATAGGAGTTATCTTTGATCAGGACATGTCGTGTAAGTCTCACATTAAGCAAATTTCAAGGACCGCCTTTTTTCACCTACGTAATATTGCGAAAATCAGGAACATCCCGTCTAAAAAATGATGCAGAAAAACTAGTCCATGCATTTGTTACTTCTAGGCTGGATTACTGCAATTCCTTATTATCAGGCTGCTCGAAAAAGTCCATTAAGACTCTTCAGCTGATCCAGAATGCTGCAGCACGTGTTCTGACAGGAACCAGGAAAAGAGATCACATTTCTTCTGTTTTAGCTTCTCTGCATTGGCTTCCAATAAAATATTGTTATTATTGTTATAATCATTGACATGGCGATTATTATCATTAACACTACTATAAATATCTATACCATTTTTCATTTCAAGCATTGGATGTCCCTTAACTTCCTCAAATTAAATGATAATAAAACTGAGATATTAGTGATCGGCTCTGCTGCCTCAGTCAAAAGGATGGACCAGTCTTGATGGTTGATGGTTTCCATATTAAGCCTTCATCACTGACTCGTAACCTCGGTGTCGTATTCAACTCAAGTCTATCTTTTGGCTCTCATATTTCTTCTTCTGTTAAAAGCTCTTTCTTTCATCTTCGGAATATTGCTTGTCTAAGATCTTCTCTCACTTTAGCTGACGCTGAAATCTTAATGCATGCATTAATCACATCACGTGTGGATTATTGCAATGCTTTATTTCTTGGTCTTCCCAAAAAACCTATTGCAAGATTACAGTATGTTCAAAACTCAGCAGCAAGAGTTCTCACCTCCACCAGGCGTTCTGCTCACATTACTCTGGTGCTTCATGACCTTCACTGGCTACTCGTGGCATCACGTATCCACTTTAAGGTATTGCTTCTAACATTTAAGGCATTAAATGGTCTTGCACCCCAATATTTGTCTGATCTACTTTTCACCTACCTCCTTGCACGGTCTCTCAGATCAACTGAACTTGGTTTATTGTCCATCCCTCGTTTCCGGTTGTCTACAGTAGGTGGAAGGTCATTTAGTGTTAATGCTCCATAATTTTGGAATTCACTGCCCCTTTCACTCATTCAAGACACAGTTAAAAACATATCTATTTAACATGTATTTCATTTAAATGTGACGATATGTATCCTATGTGATTGTAAGTTGTGTGTTAGTGTGTAAATGTACCATGTAAATGTACCATGTAAAGCGACGTTGAGCTCTGGAAAGGCGCTATATAAATAAAACTTCTTCTTGTTCTTCATTTAGTCTATAGCAACATCACCTTTACTGTCTGTACCTCTGTGTGTATATTGTGTAGGCTGTATTCCTCTCCCTCTCTCTCTGTCTCTCTGCCCCTCTCTTGCCCTCTCTCTCCCTCCCTCCCTCCCTCTCTCTCTCTCTCCCTCACCCCCAACCGGTCGAGGCAGATGGCCGTCCACCCTGAGCCATGGTTCTGATCGAGGTTTCTGCCTCTTAAAAGGAAGTTTTTCCTTGCCTCTGTCGCCTAGTGCTGCTCTTGGTGGGAACTGTTGGGTTTCTATAAGTATCATCACAGAGTACGGTCTAGACCTGCTCTTTTATGAAAAGCGCTGAGTGATAACTTGTTGTGATTTGGCGCTATATAAATAAAATTGAATTGAAACACTCCTTCACTCCCTGAAAATGTCTTCATCCTCTGCCTCATCATCAGTGACCCTCTCCGCCACCCAGGCCTCCTTGTTGCAGCCTGCCTCTGTGCTCAACCAGCCCTTCCATTCTGACTCAAGCTACTCAACATTCACTAGTCCCTGCCGTCGCAGCTCCTCCACCAGGTAGGTCATACATCCCTCTCACATCTCTTAAACACTCCTTTTCCTTTTCCTATTAATTACTCTTTAAGCTTCTTTTTTTTAATTAAGTCTCTCCGGATTGAACTGAATAAGAAGTGTGAGAATGTGGTTAACAACAGCAGCAGAGCTCTACAGGTTTTACCCTCTAATGATGACCCATGCTCATGAAACTACTTTAACCCCTAGAAGGTTTGAGTTCACTGAGACTAGTTGCAATAAACAGTTAAAACATTGAAGAGCATCCTGACTGAACTGTCTATAACTTCTATGCCTGAACTCACAGAAACTATGTCCCAGTTGAAAGTATCCTCCAGCCCTCTTGACATGATCCCAAATAAGTTTTTATTTGAGTGTATTGGTACACATCTGCTATCAATTTTAAACAGCTCACTGTCGACTTGTGTACAAACTGCAGGTGGGACTTGTGTGTCCCAGATTACTTTAAAACCGCTTGTGTCCAACCTGTCCTAAAAAAAACTTGGCCTTGATCACTAACCTAGACAATCATGGCCCAACTCTAAACTGCAGATTCTTGAAAAACTTATTTCCAAGTTAACTCTTTGCTGCTGCTTTAGTAAATAATAGCATTCTAGTTCTAGTTTGGCTTCTGTCACCATCATAGTACTGAGACTGCAGTGTTTTAACTCCTTATAAACCTTTGGGTAGTTTGAGACAGATTGACCGGAATAACAACAAACATCCTCAACTGTGATCTTTATAACCAGAGAAAAGTTCTCTGTAACACTCAGTCTGTCTGATTTAGCTTTGGCACGTTTCTTGAATGACTGGAGATCCGTTTAGTACTGTTACAGTTATCCTGATCATCTATCACATTTTCACAAGACAAAGTGACTTCATCTCCAACTCTGACAGTGAAGGAGAGGAAAAGCTAAATGGTTGCTACTGCTGAGAAGATGAGAGAAATATAAAAAACATAATCAAGATGCAACACAATTTTGCTTTTGTTCCTCAATCCTTGGTTTATAAGAGTTCACCATTCACCCTGATGTTAAATACGCTACTTGGCTGTCTCTGTTGAATAAAGGTTAAGTAATAACGGTAAATTAATGATTTTAATACATTTACTTTTTTAATGTTTGTTAGTCTTACATAAATACATACACATACATACATATATATATATATATGTTCTTACCTGTAAACTGAAGCACCAGCATGAGAAGTAAAGACATTTTAATCCATCTGAACTCAACCATCGTGTCTCTCTTTTCTCTCTGCTTCCTCTATTTGTAAATCTCAAGTTGCTTCAGAGTAATGTTGCGTCAATTGTCACTTCCTCATAGTGACTGTCCTCTCTTTGTCCTCTCATGTCATCTGTTGTTTTAAATGTAGACAGACCTCCTTCTCTTATGGCTGACATGAGCAGGTATGAAGTTCACACTGACTTGAAATATCTGGAATTAACACCAGTGAAAATTTAACCCTTGTGTTTCCACAGTTTCCTCTCATTCAGCTGTTTGATTCAACTCTCAAAAGTGACTCAGTCAAGATGAGCGTTGTCCCACTTCCTCTTAGTTTGCTTTAATTACTTTCATAACAGAACATAAAAAATAACCTGAACAGAGATATAGATGTTAAAATGACTGCATATCAAACAATAACAGCTGATACAGAAATAACAGTAAAAACTAATACATGTTTAACTACAACACAGCACTAGCACATTAAAGTGCCTGACAGCAAGTTCATTGAGCTAAATGTCCCATATATTATGTTCAGTTACATTTCAAGCAGCCAGATAATGTTGTTATTCTGCTACTAGTTAACCTACTGCACCCCCTTCTGGACTTAAAGAGGTTTTACAGCAATACATCCTGAAAATGATCATAAAAGAAGTCGAATAAAAACATTTATCAGTTATCAGTGAACTGTAATGATATGAGCTGTAACTACACTGTGGTCTCTTATTTGTTTGGTTAGTTGACGTTGGCGTAGAGGTCGTTGGGATCAGCTGAGGCTCCAGCAGAAGAAGAGGAAGCTTTCACGCTGCTGTAGGTCACTGCATCATCTTCATCATCACCATCTTTACCCAGAACCTGGAAAAGAGACAAACAGCACAACACAGAAATTACACAACATTAAATGAGAGAAGTGTTTTCATTCACTGCCATCATCACTAGAACCAATCAGACAGCTTACCCGGCCTTTACTGTTGGTCTTCCTGGTGTAGCTGATGGAGGCGTAGGAAACACCATCTTCAGGATCAGCCTACACAGAGAAGACAACATAATGGCTGCTCAGTAACATGTGGACTTGATTGTGTTCTGGTCTGTTCTGGTGTCGTCCAGCTGCATCATCAGACTCCCCACTTCTTCTCTTGCAGAAAGAACTTAGATTCAAGAGTCACTGTGTGTCTCATAGAGCTACATTTTGAACAACAAATCTAAAAACAGTGAGTGTAACTTTGTCCTGGGTGTAGTGTGAGATCTCACCGTGTCCTGACTGCTTTCTGGACTCACTGCAGGGTTTAAGCTCCGTCCCTGAAAACAACAAACAAACAGAGTCTACTTCCATGTGGTCAAACACTGGCTCTGTGAAGGCTGTTTAGATTTGGATGACTCTGTCAGAGAGCAGCTGATTCAGCTCTGTCATAACTGTAGAAACATTTGATTACTCAGCCGTAAAACTCACAGTGTTTTCATCCATCTGGGGTTTTTTTCCTGAAGAGACAAAAGAGAGTCGACTTTAGCTTCAACAATAAAAATCCAGGTTCATCAAAACTTCTTGTTTATAATATCTGTGGTTGCTCTCACCTTTAGTTTTCTTCCATCTGATGAGTTCAAACAAGAGTGCTGCAACTCCTACAAACACAACGATGAACCACAAACCTGGAAAGAGAATAAAAACCTTTTGGCGGCAACCTTTTGTTCTGTTATTTAGTGTTGCATGAACACATCTGACATAGACTGATAAAAGATTAATCAATAATAATTTTTGATCGATCTCGATCACTTCCTACTTTCTGTTTTATACCACTGTCAATGGGTAGCTGACAGAGAGACTAGAAAAATGAGTTACTACCGTGTAGTTTTGTTGAACCATCTTTGGTTGTTGTTGTGGCTGTAACTGATTTTGTGCTGTTTTCACTTGTTCTTGTTGATTTAGTTGTTGTTGTTGTTGTTGTTTGTGCGTCACCTGCCAAATGAAATAACCCCACCCAAGAAACTTTTCAGTTAGAATATACTTTATGTTTACCATGTTTAACAAAAGTGTTTAAAGGGGTGGTATTATGCTCATTTTGAGGTTCAAAATCCTATTTAAAGGTTGTGCCAGAACAGGTTTGCATGGTTTAATTTTCAAAAAACACCATATTTTTGTCATACTGCACATTGCTGCAGCTCCTCTTTTCACCCTGTGTTGAACGCTTCGTTTTAGCTATGGAGTGATACATCTTGTCTCTAAATAATCTTTGTTGGGAGTTGCACATGCGCAGTTCCTTGTTAAGGACTACTAGCCAATCAGAAGCAGAGAAAGGTGGGTCAGCTTTGATTCAGCTGTAGGCTACGTGTTGCCGACCAGCTTGGCAATTTGGTCTGGAGCAAGAGTTTCAGAGTGGTGAGTTATTAAGATTAAGATATACTTTATTAATCCCCGAGGGGAAACTATTAATCAGTAACAAAAGTATCTTTCATCCATAAAGTTTTAACTGAGCTCTGTCTCTACATCACAGTAACAACTTCATGTCCACTGACTACCTGGAGGGTAGCTAGTGTTTGGAAGGTAGAGGAGAGGTTTGTGCTCAGCTCAGTGTTTTTCCACCGGTGTTTTTGAGGGCATGTCGGACTAATCGCTCAGAGAGCATTATGACATTTTTTACATTGTGACATCACAAGAAAGGGAAGTAAAGGCTGGACTACAAACGAGCTGTTTTCAGGCAGTTCAGAGCAGAGTTTTCTGTGGGAGATGGGAACTCCCTTTGGGCTGGACTTTGGGCTTTTTCACTTTGTAAACCTGTTACATGCACAAAAAAGAGACATAATTCAATAAAGGAGAGGGGAAAAGCTAAAAACCATAATACCACCTCTTTAAATATTCACACATACAGTTACTTCTCTACATTTTTGGATGTGTAGAGTATGGTGTTAAAAGAAAAGCTTAAGATGATGATGATGCTGTAGGTTGAGAACATTCTTCAGACATTTTTTTCTTTCCAAAAGGTTTGTTTGTTGTTGTCTGTCGTTGGGTCCATACAAATATAAGGAAAATTTAAAATTTATCAACAGCCACTGAGCAGAGCATATCTAATCAGGATCTGATACTACAACTATTTCATCAATACATTTTTTTTTCTAAATAGATATTCTTGTCTTGTTGTCATGGCCCCAATCTTGTGCAATTTTACGTTTCATGGGCTAAGTGTCACCCTAAATCTGAGCCCTTAAATGGAAGGATGGTGTATTGGTGAGGGTGTCTGACCGATTTTAATGGGCCGCTTGGGCCAAAAAAGCCAGGGCTGATTTTTTGTCCCAGTCCCTGCTGAGAATATAACTCAAACCGTAGCTCCCTGGCTTTATCATCCACCAAGATAATAGATTGGACCATTAACAAGTATTTAAACTGGGGTCCAAGCCCCCCGGGATCGACAAATAGCGACACCTAGGGGCAAATTGCACCAGATTTTGCACAGCAACTCAGCCATTCATGCGACATTAAAGCTGATGATACACAGAGCAACATTTACAGCAATCGTGCAGGGCAATGTTGCCGTCAGTGGTAATTAGTAAAGATTACTACCGTAATCCCCTTCCCCCACCACTCCGCCACCCGCCCCACACGACCGCTCTCCGTTCAAAACATAGTCAGACTTGCCACTAACAACATTGCCCAGCAACATTGCTCAAAAAGTTGCATGTATCATCAGCTTAAGGCTCCACGTTTGGTGTTGATCAACCATTCCCAACCTAAGATATGACATCACCCCCTTAGCATTTTTGCAAAGATTTGTTAGCTTACAATTGGGACATTTTTTCAAAAATCAAAATTTCCTCTACAAACTTTTATCAGCTTCATCCATAGATGGTCCGTGCCAAATTTGTTGCCGATCAGACTTGGGGCTTCGGAGGAGTTAATCAAAATAAGTTTTTCAGTTATGCAGCCAAAAAAAAGTCTAGGCAGAAATGGGAGTGGCCTATACCAGGAGATTCAGCTCGATCCCCCGAACGCATGGATATAAGTTTGTTTTGATATGCGCCATCATATGCGGGAGTTACAAGATCAAACGCGTGAAATTGCTTATAGCACCCCCTAGTGGTAGAAGTGTGCAGATTTTTGCACCTGAGGTACTTGCAGTTTTTGGACCTACCCTATGAGTTTTGTGTCTTTAGGACTTACCGTCTAGGCTGCAGTATGAGTTTTAGCAGTGGAATAATAATAAAAGTCCTAACGATTCTGATAGGGTTCCCAGCTCCGCTGCTACTGGGAACCGCGATTAGCAGGTTCCCAGCCCACTCGGGCTTGGACCCCTTATTAAGTTAACACCGGGATAACACCCACACTCAATTAACCAACATCTTATTCACCGTAGTAGTACAATTAACACCAGTGCAGGCGGTCATAGTTGTCAACCCTCTGTATAGGTCAGAGATGGTGACTCGAGTTAGAGACTCGGACTTGAGTGCAACTTAAGTCGCACACACAGTGACTTCAGACTCGACTGCTTACGTAACACATAGTATCTGCTGCGCGTGGCCACACGTGAGAGAGGACAACAAACAACGGCAGATGCTGTGCCAATCATCATAAACTTTGGCTTTAAAATTTCATACAACAAGACCCAAACAAAGAAGCGCTGAACGCAAACATGTGGTGAGTAAACATGTTTAGCTCAGCATTGACCATCTAACGTTAGCTTGCTTCTTGCTTCAGCTACGACCTACGAGAGGTTAACTCCGACTGTCGTTCGTTATGAAAAGATGAATGAGCATTTGTTTACTTGCCAAACTTGTGGTGGTCGATTAACGTAATCATTACGTCCCGCTGGCTGCCATCACGTTAATTATTATCGTTGGCTGAAAAGAGGTTACAGATTTATTGTTGTTGTTTTATTTAGTTATAACGTTACACTGGTTTGAGAGTCTACAGGGTGTGTTGACCTACAGTAGTTTAAGCTGCCATTGATTGCATAGCACATTATGGTTGTGCTCTGTAAGTTAAAAACAGGTTACGGCTTTATTGTTGACCTTGTAACTTTACAGTTTTATTTAGTTAACTTTACACTGGATTTGAGAGTCAACAGGGATTGTTGACTTACAGTAGTTTATAAGCTTATGATAAGTCACTAATTGTAGACGCATTGTACATTAGGCTACATGTTACAGTATTTAATAAGCCGTCAATAATTGAATAGCTCAGAGACTTGAGACTTGACTTGGACTCTAGCTCAGAGACTTGTGAGCATCTCTGGTATAGGTGCGTTCGAGATGACTGCGGCTGACCTACGGCAACTTAATAGTCATAGACATATTTTCTGAACTCACAAGGTAGCTCAACTTCAATTTAATTTAATAAAAGCAGTTAACTCTGAGCTCTGAGTTGTCAGAGAAGAATCCAGACCGACTACGGGTGTTTATTTGTCCGAAAGCTGCAGCAAAACGCTGGATTCTCTTTCAGTGTGAACACACCTTAAGGCAAGGATTATACTTTCCGCGTCCGCGAGTATGCGAGGGTCCACTAGAGTCCACGTGACGAAAAAGTCGTCATCAGAGGGGGTACTCGTAGCGTCCAGCATGCATCACGTTAAGTCAGCGCCACATGAAGTTAAGCGCACCTTTTGCTTGATAACTGAGTAAACTCTGAGTAGGTTGAACTCCCTTCGTAGTACAGGCCAAATATCTCCACCCACAGCCAAGTGTCAGACACACAGAGAGAGAGAGAGATCAAAATGACTGCGTTGTAGTTCGTTGAAGCATCACTGATTGCAGATGCTGTTGTGTTGGTACCTGCTTTTATGCTGTTTTCAGTTGTTGTTAATTTAGTTGTAGCTTTGGTTGATTCTGTTGTTGTTGTTGTGTCCTCACCTGAGCAGATGAACACAGTTCAACAAAGTAGGAAACTTGTTTTGTGTTATTGAAAACTTTAAATCTATAAAAATGCACAAATCATATCATAACCAACAAAATCATATACTCACCTGGTTTCTCACCTGAGGGGCGAAATCCAAAGGGTAACTTCTGCACTTTGTTATTGTCGGTAACTTCACATGTAAATAAGTTAGACTTTTGTGTGTAATCCAGGAAATCCACATTAGCGTAGCAGCCAGTCTGTGATGTCTTTATGTATTTTTTATCAACATCTTTACCCTCATACAGCCACTTCACTGTGTGTCTACACTCTCCATACGTCGACACAGAGCAGGTTAATGTCACCTTATCAGTGTCCTTACGTTCAGTCACTGGTGAAGATGGAGATATTGTGAGAGAAAGACAACAAGAGTAAAGTTAACTTCATCACTGTGATCATAATTATTGTAATGTTTCAGTATATTGTTCTAACAAGACAGTTTGAGCTGAAAACATTATGATGGAAATACTCACTGATAATAACAGACAGATAAACATGAGAGTCTGGACCTTGTTGTTTGTCTGATTTGTTGAACTGTCTGCAGGTGTAACGACCAACATCCTCATCTGTGACATTCTTTATAACCAGAGAACAGTTCTCTGTAACACTCAGTCTGTCTGATTTAACTTTGTCAATAATCTTCCCAAGTTTAGCCAGCCGTACTGTTGTTGTATTTCCTGAAACACTGAAGACCCATCTAGTATTTTCACATTTTTGCTGACCGTCTATCACATTTTCACAAGGCAAAGTGACTTCATCTCCAACTCTGACAGTGAAGTAGAGGGGAAGTTTTTCAGCTGCTGCTGTTGAGAAAATTATGAAAAATAAAGTGAAATGAGAAAATGTCTGTTATGTTCATAGTTACTGACAATTATTTCTTTATCCTTAGTTTCCAAGAGTTCACTAAACTCACCACATTAGAAACAACAGATTTGGTTTTCTTAGTTAAATCAAACGTAGCTAATAAAGAATCTTTAATAATATTGATCAAGTTATTTTTTACAATGTGCCTTCCATTTATATATGTGATATATGTATTCTTACCTGTAAACTGAAGCACCGCTGGAAGAAATAAAGAAATCCATTTGAACTCAACCATCATGATTCTCTGAGTCTCTCCTTCTTCTGTCTCTTGTTCTCGTGCTCAGAACTGTCTGAGTTTCTAAACTAGTGCTTTAGTAGAGAGACGCTGCAGCTACTTCCTGTGGTTAGGATGATGTCACTTCGTCAGCCAAAAACTCTGTGACTGACTGAGACCCCCAATTATTGGTCAGCAATATGAGATGCTGCCATCAGTTAAGATGTCAGATGTCAGAGATCACAGCAGCCTGACAAAGATCCT